AGAATCAGGAGACAAAGTTGTGGTTTCCAATAAAGTATCAATAATTATTTTAACGAAACAAAATCTTTCAAGTTCGTCTTTTAGAAGACGGTCTGAAATGAAATTGATACTTCTAAGTGTAAATGAAGTTACAGTCGGCCGTTCGAGAAAGGATGTCACACGAGTGCTATGATTGTACGTGTGTCTGTATATGGCTAAGCTATAGAGTTGAACAGTTGACTCTTTCACTAAGCGGTTGTAAGTATATATATATATATTAATGTGTGCATTTCCTTTGAAAACACAGCAATTTATCTGGATGTTGTCAACTGAATCCTTTGAAGTTTGAATTATAAGCTTTTCTTATTGTTGTAAAATAATATTTTTTATTCGATTTGAATTTATGCTGACCTATATTTGATTCTCTTCGAGTTACTACACGCATTTCAAAGGAATACAAAATCTTCTTACGTACAAATATGAAATATATTCACCTTTTATAAACAAACTTGTAAGATGTATTCGACTTGAATAAATACGTACATAGAGTCCATGGAACACTTTCTATTTATCGCGTTGAAGTAATAAATATTGAACATGTTTAATGTTTCCGTGTGAATATCAGCGTTACTTCACATTATAGAATGTAAGAGGATTTTTTTCGTTATTTCGACAAACATATATATATATATATATATATATATATATATATATATATATATATATATATATATATATAAAAGGGGACAGACTGTTTTATGCTAATCGCAATAGTCAGGCCACCGATTGCGTTTAGTACAGAAACAGTCTGTCGTTCCTAAATGTTGATGTCAATATTCACTTTTCACTAGCACCACCACCAATACGCAATATATATATATATATATATATATATATATATATATATATATATATATATATATATATATATATCATATTGTTTGGTGCTGCTAGTAAAATAGTGCTCGATTAATGTTGCATATATATATATATATATATATATATATATATATATATATATATATATATATATATATAAACCACTTATGCCCATCACCCACTCGATTTTCGCGGGTCCGGCGTCGTTAGGCACGGCAGATTCCCAATCGGGACCAAGTGACAAAAATCCACTATCTACCCACGTTGTGAATTTTCTGCCCTGAAGAGTGGTTTCGTTGTTCCTGGTCCAACAGGGTCTGTTGAGAGTGCTGAGGGCGGAACAAGGGTATATTAGTAAAAAAAAAAAAAATGAAATAAGGATAAAAAAAATTGTGGAAAAAAGGCCGGAGTCGCTTGAATAGAGTTAAAATCTTTATATGCAGGTAAAATAAAAATAAACGATAGAGGGTGTGTGTGGAGGTGGGGGGAGAAAATCGGCTGAGTATCAGGTTATCTCGGTCGATCCACTATGTTACGAGATTATTGCGTCCGCCCTCGTTTATACAACAGCGCCCTCCACTTGGTTCATATCAGGTTTCCGAACTCTACTAACAACCGCCATTACAATCTCGTCTCAGGAAATTTCAGGGACTTCACTCTACTTTCCGCAATTCTGCTGTTCGCGGCTCTGCTCGTGACTCCCTGCTACTCTACGCTACTTTCTACGGCTCTTCTAACCACACTATCACGATCTCTGCAACTCTCCTACGATCTCTTAACCAATCTCCCAACCAATCCCTAACAACTCCCCATAATTCTGTTGTCCTCGGCTCAAACCCCTACTTATATCGAAGATGGGTGCGGTGGTTATTTCAAGGGTCCCCATGCATAATTGCTACGGCCAATTGCCGGCAGCCCACCTACCACCGTAATTAGTATACTCCTACTAATCCTAATTTTCTTTTCTCTGGTCAATTCCAACCTGGCGGCACAAATATTGCCGGGTAGCCTTTTTGCCAGGACGCGTTAACTTCTCCAACAATGGTCAGTCACTCGCCAGGATGTCTAGCCCTTCATTGTTTACGTACACAAAAAACAGGAGATAAAATTTTTGGTGACATCTTCAAAAAAAAAAATAATAATAAGAGAAAGAATTTTTAAAACCTTTTTTCTTTAAGCTCGTTACTTTATCAATATTTCCAGTTAGTCCGTTAATTTTAGTTACTATTAGTTACTCATAGCTTCAATTTTACTACCACTCGAACACTAATCAACTCATTACGCTTCGTTAATTAACACTTATTTTAATTTCGCCGATTCTCTCCCTCTTTTTGTCATATATATATATATATATATATATGCAACTACATCATAAAATGCAACCATGAAAAAATTAACAACACTTAACCGCAAAGAAATGGACGAAAGTGCTTGAAACAATAGACACTACGGACATTTTTCCCACCCCCACCACAAAAATTTTTAAATACTTGGAAAACTCAATCCAAAAAAATAATTAAATTTTCCTTATCTGTCATATTCAACGAAACATGTTTGTAAAAAAGTTTCCGGACAAATATACATTATATATATATATATATATATATATATATATATATATATATATATATATATATATATATATACACTTTGTCTACAAACAAGATAATGACATTGAGAGAGAAGGGGTAGTGACAGTGAAGATGTAAGACAAAGTTAGCTGAGAAAAAGTCAATAAAGAACAAGAAAGATAGAAAATACTGATTTTAAAGTTTTGAGATTGTATATGACAGGAAAGCAAGAAGCCGGAAGAGAGTTCCCCAAGCAAGAAATGCGAGACAGCCTTAAAGCACTTTGTCATTCGGAGGTCGCTTAATCATATGAACAATATTAATCATTTCTAAGCCAAAAATAAAGGGATCAGTTATACATATATCAACTTATATTCATTTGTATATAGTAACGGCCGCACTTGTTAACTTTGTTTTACAAACTTTCAGTAAAAGTCCCGACGTTTCAGTAGAAAATTTTGTAACCAAAGTAGGACACATTTCTTATTTCCCTGTATGAGAAATATTGGTTTATAAAAACTTCAGAGCATTTTTGTAAGAAAATTCTAATTGTTTTTTTATATCATTGGCATTATTATTTGATTGTGGGGTCTGTAATCTGTTCTTGTACATTATTGCTGTAAGATAGTAAATTAAAGGGAATAGCCAAAGTTTTTGTGTCAAAACTGTATTTTCTGGTTTACAAGACGCACTTTCTTTTTTAAAAGATACCCTGAAAAATACGTGTGCGTCTTCCAAGACGAATGTAAGAAAACACTCATGCTCATGTAAGCTTGGACGGTCACATAATTGGCTTCACTGATCGGGACGTGGATTTCTATGTTGAGTCATTGCACTATAATGTTAGCTGTTTAATTCGGCCTTTTATATGATGTAACCTCAGTACTTAGCTGTTACAAATATTGCCAAGTCTGTAAACCTTCCTGGAGCTGAGCCACAAGCTTAAACATGCTCTCTTTACTATCAGACTAGTGATTAATGTAAATAATACGTGGCGCCAGTGTATGAAGGACGCATGGTGAATGTGCTGTTCTATGAGAAAGACTTTATTTTTCTTAGAAATTTCTTTCCAAGATAAGGGTGCGTCTTCCATGCCAGAAAATACGGTATATGCTATCGCATGAACCCATTTTCCCACGTCCCATAAGAGATCATGACTCTTCATAGGTCTGTCTTTCTTTATTGTGTCATTGGGAAAGATAATGAATTTACTTTCCGTTTCCTTCTCTACGATTTGGAATTCATACTTTTCCTACACATAGACTGGATGGCAGCCTAGACTCGAAATTACAGTCTACAATGCTATTTAACCTGTTACTAGATGGAGGGGAGACGGATTCAGGCTTTTCCTAAACGCGTTTACTTGACAAGGAACACAACAGACGATGGTTTTGTTAGCGTCCTACCAATATCAATAACTACGATCGCGCAACCTGTAAAAAACGGTGTATTCTTGTATAAATAAAACAAAGGTTGATTCTCGCACAAGAATTGTATTTGAGTATACTCATAATAAGTTCGCAATCATCAGTTACATTGGTTCTCGTAAAAATACGGATAAATACTGACAAATATAACAAATGATAGTATTTTTTAATCAATTCACCCCAAGCAAGACGATAATGCCACTAAGACACAAGGGAATGAACGAGAGCGAGAAAACTTCAAAAGTAACCGGAAATGCAATCCTAAACAGGGAACAATTCCTCACTGATAGAATTCAAAAGCATCTATGAAGCCTTGTGAGTGATGATTTTCCACCCGACAACCCCTTTCCCACGGACGAAAAGCGCCCTTCGCTATTTCCATGGTATGGAAACTAGATTCCTTGATCCCCCCCAGCCTTGACCTTTGCAGCTGTGAACCACCATGCTGCATACATAAGAAGGACTCTTCCTCATACCCTTCGTATTCTATTAGTAAGAAGTCGGTTCCATTCCGACAGCTTCGTTCCAAGAACTGCTGCTTTGTGGAACAGGCTCCCGGCAGGACGTTTTTTCCTAACCCCTACAATCTTGACATCTTCAAGTCTAGAGGTAACCGTTATCTTTCCTGCATAACTAAATAAAGTTCACTTTTTGTCATTTATTAAACTCATACACCATCACATTGTAACATTAAGTGGCTCTAAAGATTTGTATTGGGTGAATATTAGTATAATAAAGTTAACTTTGATAATATTGTGTTCGCCAGCTTGTAAAAATCTAGACTTAACAGTACTGTACTGTACTGATGCGGCATTCACCCTGGGCGGATTGAGCCGGCTTCTTCCTGTTATGAGAAGAAGATTCTTGGGATAAATTACAGAAGTAGGGTACCCAGGCCTACTCGAATAACGTTCTTGCTTGCCGCGGGGTTCCCACAGACGCAGAGACAGGAACGACCAGAAGCCGCCGGTTACCGATGCAGACGCTCCTTGGATTTTCACCAGAGCCCTTGTTAGCCGGCGTGTGTGTCAGACCTGTCCGCCTTGGGTGGCCCTACCAGGAACGAAGTTCCGGGCGGCATAGCTCTGAAACTACCGTTTACATCCCCCCACCGACTGTGAGGTAAGGGTTGGACTTTTGGGGGCTTACAGTACCAGGTGTTCCCAAGCGGTCCCTCATCTAAGTACTGACCTGGCTCTACGATGCTTAACTTCGGTGATCGAACGAGAACCGGTGTTTCAGCGTGATTTGCTAAATGAAATAGTATGTTTAATATCGTTGTTGATAAATTGTATTCACTACAAAAGCCACTTTACTGCAATTTTATAAATAAAGACAGGAAAACGGAAATGATATTTAAACTAATAAATTAATTAAATTATTACCTATTTTAAATTTGAATGTGTTGTACATTACAGTCAAATATGGGTTTGTCAATAAAACATTTGTGTATGAAAATTTCAGAATCAGCTTATACTTCTTAACTAATGTCTTAAAATGAGAAAATTATAACCCTTTATTATTTTGTAATTTTCACAAAATACACTTTCCGATGCGCTGGATGGAGGGGGTCGTCATTGATGTTTTATAACTGGGTTCATCAAGGGTTTCAAGTTTACCAACATCAGGAACATCTCCCACTGGCAAATTTGAGTCTCCGGGCTATCCTTACCTGTGCCTCTGACTTATTCTACTAAACTCATTTAGCTATCTCTTCTTTCTCTATCGTACTCATTTCTCGCTTGATTGTTGCATACAAGACTGAATTTCTGATAGATTAGGTAAGGCCTTCTATCTCACCTTGCGGTTCTCCGAAAGAATGGCGGAGCTCGGACTGTAGCTCTAGATATCTCGAAGCTATCTGACAGGTTTTATAACGCTCGTGCCCTTCACAGGCTCAAGGGGTACAGTGTTACGGGACGAATATTTACCTTCATTCAATCATTCCTAACAAATCGTGTAACGAAAGTCGTGTTAAACGTGCTCGCTTTCAAATCTTTTCATACTAACGTGGTAGTCCTCAAGAACTATATACTTGTACATCCACTGTCTCTGATCTTCATCAGTGACCTTCCGATGCCATCAATTCCCAACTAGGTATTTATGCAGATGACAAACTATTTCTTCCTATCTTAGTAGCAAATCCTACAGATTTGGCAAAGTAAACCTGTCAACTGCTCTTGAAAAAGGCCTCTAATCTGTGGTTAACTTTGATATAAAATGACTTGTAAATTTTAACAAATTTCATTTAATCATCACAGAGAACTTTTTCTGCCTGTGATCAGCATGGCTAATTCTAAATTCTAAGAGAGCAACATTCTACACCTTCTTGGCCTCAGGTAATTCCACTGACGTGAAGTGGAGGGATTATATCGAAATTGCTGTTTACTGCAGAAAAAAGTTTGTTCGCTGCGTCATTGATCAACCTTGCACATTTACAAATCTACCATTCGTCCGTGTATTGAATATCTGGTCCGGTACTGCTGCTGTACATCTCGAGATTCTTGAGAAAATCCAAAGAAAATTCTGTAATATAATCGATCCTGACCAGACATCACAACTTCATTTATTTTCTCCCTGGCGTTACGTGGTTTCCCTGTCTTTTCTACAAATATTTTCATGGCAACTGCTCTGATGAACTTTTTTTGTCTATGGTGCCCCAACTAGATCAATTTAAGCTACTGCTAGATTGCCAACTAGGTTTCACTAAGTTACCGTTGAAATAACAAGATGCAAACGCCGCTTCTATATTAAGTTTATTTTCTTGCATTTCCCACCTGTGGAACTCCCCGTCTCACTTTGATTTCTTGCTTTCTGATAAATTTAATCTTCAAAAATTTGAATACAGTTTCAATCGCCATCTGCTCTTGGTTTTTTCCTTTTCCCCAATCCTCTCCATTCTCAGTCTTCACTGCGTTCTAGTGACATCGCCTTCCTTCGAGTGAAACGAATAAAAATAAATACCTCCCTAACCCGGTTCACTGTTTTCTGTTCGAATTCTGATCCACCTCTCCACAAGTAGATAACGCGTCATATTCTTCCGATTTCCATTTCAGAGCTTGATTGGTGGATTCGTCATTGCTGCTTTTAGTGACATCACCAACAACCAATGACCTCCAGGCACTGATCACCGCCCGCTATTTAATTTTAATTGAGCTTTTAGTTAGATTTGTCTCTTTTTTTCCAGAATAATGACTTATCTAAACAATACGACATCATGTAGAACAATTCAACACAAAATGTCAGTTAAGGTTTAAATAAAACAACGCTATCGGATATTTACCAAAGTTCTATAATTGTAATTTTCAAGTCACAAGAAAAAATGCTTATCCCATTTGTTGAAGAGATTTTTTTTGCTTTCTTCCCTACAATTTCAGACTTAGAAGTTCCAGATTGCTGATTAGAAATGAAAGACAATTTGTCATTTCAGAGTCAGCAAATCTTTGAAAATGGCTACAAATAATATTATTTCCAAGTTAAAAGAAGGAATTTGCTGATCTCTAACTCTTTGATCTGCAAATAACAGCTTAACGTATTCGACTTCGAACACTACTCTGTAATTTGTAAACAGAAAGCAAGATGTTGCACTTGATATAATTCGAGAGACAGTAAAGTAACTCTTTGTGATTTATCACACAGGAATTGAGTTATATATATATATATATATATATATATATATATATATATATATATATATATATATATATATGTATATATATATATATATATATATATATAACTAAGGATATTCTTTTCAATTGTTTTCTTTTATAGACAGAATATGAGAATTAAAGAGGATCAGGCTGAAAGGACCAGATTGGGATAGTTTGGGAGATGCATGCATTTCTATTTTTCCCTCACAAAAAAACACTAACCCAGAGTAACGCGCGCACACACACACATACACACACATATGTATGTATGTATGTATGTATGTATGTATGTATGTATGTATATATTATGTATTTATGTATCTGTATGTGAAGTCTCAGAATATATCATCAAAAGGACAATATAAATTAAAAACATTTTACCTCATAAATTCCATCGAAAGACAAAACGCGTGGGTTAAAATAAGTTTTACTTTTCTCTTTATATTTGTGTATATGAATATATATGACTGTATCTGTATATATATATATATATATATATATATATATATATATATATATATGTGTGTGTGTGTGTGTAAATAAATATACGTATGTACATATATATATTTATGTGTATATATATATATATGTGTAGGTATATATATATATATATATATACGTAATTATGTATAAGTATATGTATCTATGTGTACATAGGCAATTGTATATGTGTATATATATATATATATGAATGTATGTATATATATATATATATATATATATATATATATATATATATATGAATATGTGTATTATATATATATATATATATATATATATATATATATAAACAAATGTTTGGAGGTACAAAATTTATAAATAGTTTTTAAAAACAAGGAATGCATTGATTTTAAATTTAAAAGTCTCTAGGGCCCTTTCAGCCAACATCTCATCAGGAGACAATCGTTGGATTAGCGAAAAGAATATTAACGATATTGAAGAGCAAAAAAGAGGGGGAAACACACTAAAATAACAAACAAGTATATATACTTGTAACGTATAATCGTGTAAATAAATTAGCGAGGGACAGTTAAAATAAAATATCCCCCAACAGATTCAGAGACCTTATAAATTCTTTCTGCCGGCAGAGAGAAGGTTTTCTTAATCCTATACAGACCGATTCAAAAATCTTCAAATGATTATTGGAATCGGCTGTATGAATAATTTTAAACCACTCTTTTTTAAACAACTTGGCGCAAGCTATATTCTCAACTAAATGTTGAGCAATAGCCGATTCCATATTCATGGGGGGGGGGAAGATAGCATATTCTATCTATCTTACCAAATCGTATTTTTGGAAGGTACGTGCTGATTGATTCTAGTTTCCAAATGCAAGGTTGTACGCCCCACATAACCAGCAGCACACACTGCAATTAAATTCATATACTAAATTACTCAATTTGATGTAGGGCAATACATCCTTGCGAAAAAGACGGAAACGCAGACCTAGTTCGAAAAATGCTACGTAAAAGCAACTGATGGGAAACAACCGAAACCGACTTGCTAACCTGCTTAATTAAGCCCTGACCACTATCCCCAATCCAGGGAATCTTCAAATAAACCGGACATTTAGAAGGCCCTGGTTTTGGGGAATGAAATTCCTTAGTCTTCTTACTAATAATATAGTCAATAAGGGCCTCCGGATAGCCGTTACTAAGGAAAATCTCCATAATGTTCCCAAAATTCACGGTCCAATCTAATAGAACAAAAATTTTAAGCGCTCTATACACCAAGGTTTTAACAAGATTGATTTTCCTTGATGCAGGAGCAAATGAACGCCAATTCAAATAAAGTCCCGTAAAGGTGGGTTTACGATAGATGCTAGTAATAAAAATATATATATATATATATATATATATATATATATATATATATATATATATATATATATATATACATGTATGAATGAATGTGCATTTTGTGTGTATATTTATGTAAGTGCTTAATATATATAATTATATCTATTTATATATATTTTAAATATATATAGTTATATGTAGTTATATATATTATATATATATATATATGTGTGTGTGTGTGTGTGTGTGTGTGTGTGTGTGTGTGTGTGTGTGTGTGTGTGTGTGTGTTTCTGGGCATTATAAACCTAATATTTTCAGCAAGCATTTTTTTTTTGCTTTTATCATGCCGTGTTTTTACCAGAGCTTATATTGCAATTTTTGTTATTATCGCTCTTCTCTGTCATTCCTTATTACTGGTTCCCAAATTGTATTCATTTCTATGCTTGGTCGGCTCAGGAGATTTTTGTAGCTGAGTCTCCTCCGTGAGTACCTTGGTGAACAAACTCACCACGTCCAAGCGGTTGGATAGGATGCGAGCATCTTTGATTATTTCCACAAAGTGGGCAGAGTTTCGGACATATGAAGGAGATTTTCCGATCAATGGGTCAATTATATCTACAAGGAAGCGACTCAGAGTGTGGCACACAGAGCAAAAAAATTGCAATATGAGCACTGGCAAAAAACGGTTGCTGACATTAGGTTTATAATACCCAGAAATTCATACATAGGTTTCCTCAAGGACACATGGCACAGTGGATAAAGGCGTTAGTTAGATCCAGGAACAGGACCCA